CGAAGTGAATTATACCTATATCAACTCGCTCATCGTGAACCCTCGATAAGATATATCAAGGAAGTTCCAAACTAGAAAAAAACAATTTCGATGAAATTTGGAAGAGAAACTCAAATGGACTCCAAAATATTGAGTTTAAATGGATGAGCAATCAGACGAACAGTTTAAATTTGGTAGCCATTGAACTTTTACTACCTTAATGCCGCAAGCGAGAGGTCAACTGAGTTAGACGGGCTGTGAGCAAGTGCTTGAGGCCAACGCTAAAAGCATGTGTACCTTTGCGCTAGACAAGTGAACCATGAGCTACGACTCAAAATATCGGAAGGAGGACAGGACAAGTCCCCATTTATAGTATCATTTTTTTAATTTTAAGCCTAAGAACTGCCGGTTATTGATGCTAGTATATACCTATAATTTTTAACTTGGATAATTTGTGAGTTTTGATTCAGATATACAGAGAATCAAACTGTGATGGTAATACAGTACTCAACCAATTAGACTAAATTAATTAAGCCAATTATCAACCTAATCGGTTTAGTATTGTCGATCTTTTGTGTTTATTTCATTATAATGTCTTTTCATTAACATCTAAACTAAATTAAATTTTTCTGTGTCGTTCTCACTAAAGTTACCGAATTTTTGTTAAATATGTTCCATTTCTACTTTCAATGTATATGAAACATTGAGGTGCATTCACTGTGCTTGAATATTATGTTAAAGTCATGCTGATTGACTACACATACTGATGTTGTGCAGGTACAGTTTTTCAAATAATAATAAAACTATTTCCAGAAGCTCTTACAAGCATGTATATATATAACCCTAATATGTTACTACAGCTTGTTATTATGAATGCAGTGTAGAGTATCAATGTATGGAAACACACGTGACCATATTTAATTTCGTATTTATACTCCGAGTAAAATTGAATGACTGTGAAAGACATTACAGTCGTATTTTCTAAGAAAAATAGGAAAAGCTGAAATACGAAATGTATTTTTTTTTGTGCCCAGGTGGTTCAGTGGTAAGTTTAGAGCTTTACAACGCTAAAATCCAGAGTTCGATTCCTCGCGGTGGGCAGAGTAAAGATAGCCCGTTGTGTAGTTTTGCACTAAGAAAACAACAACTTAGCTTATATTATAACTGGGTAGTATTTAAAACTCAGGTCGATGTGTATGTATTGAATTTTTATTCAAAGTTGAACTGAAGAACAATGAAAAAGAAATTTACTCATATGAACCAATGTACGTTCTATCCACAGTATTTCAAAGGGTTTTTAATTGCCAAATGGAATCCATACCTTTTCTTCACTTTGTACTCTTAATATTCTACTGGCCGGTATTTCCTGGACACACTCCACCAACTGTAAACTGCTTTCAGTGGGACATCCAAGCCGATGTGCCACTGTTCGTGCATACTTTCCAGGATTCTGTTCTGAAGCCCAATCACATAGTGCCGATCCACTCTGCGATACTGCCCTCTGGAACATACCTTCAATACGAATAACTGTCGTCATCGGGAAATCCATCACAAGAAAGAAAACCTACAAGTCTCAACTAACAGCAAAACAAATAACCAAAAACTATACGTGTTTCCCTCTCCACTGACTTCTGTTGTAATTGATATACTCAATTCGTGATTTTTGCCATTAATGCTTAATAGTAAAACTGTGTGGATGAAAAACATTCTTATACCAATCGACTTATTTGTCTAAGATTATGGATTGTCAACTTTCCTCAAACGACAGTTTGGCATCTCTTTCTTATTATTATTGCGAAAACCATCAAAATAAAATCGGTTGGTACTGCTTCGTCTAAAGAAGAAAAAAAGATGTAAGGTGTTACTTGAGAGGATTTACCAATGTAAACATAGAATTTTAAGCAGACCCGGTGATTTTATTTTGCTTCAAATGTACGACTCTTAGTGATACCTATTCTGATTTGATACAGTTTTTGTTGACCAAACTATATAATTCTGGAAGGGTGACGTTACAAATAAACACGTTTAATTCTATCAATCACGCCAAAAAAATGCAAAAGTGTATTGTTGTTAATTTAGCGCCCTCTTGTGATAAAAACAATAGAAAACAGTGATCACACGCACACACACACACACACACACACATTTGTATAGATTCTAGCAGGCTGCATGAATTTTGAGGCAAATGAAAATAGTCTGAACGAGATTGGAATATATTTACCACTTCTCAAGAAACTTCAATTTCAGTAAGGAGATGTGTAATGTTATTCATTATGTTATATGCCACTCCAAATGTCCATGTTTATTTTTCTTTGAAATTGTGGGTAGGTTCTACAACTTAACAGTTTACTTGTGAGTTCATATTAAGATTAAAGATAAAGATAGGAGTCTTTTGGTTTCTTGAAGAGTATGTATGTTTAAAACCTTGAATGAAATGTCTTTTTCGCTTCACTGACAGTGATCTATCTGCTTGTCAGTAAAGTGTATCGGTTTTAGTAAGGGGAATACCAAGTCCAAAGGCAGGCTCTGCATACAAAGTATGGGAAAATCCCAACAGGAGACTGCAAATTTTCTAATTTGAAAATAAATGTTAGGGGTGATTTAAAAATTTCTTTTCAAAATAATTCTTTGAAGGCAGACAAAAGAAAATCATTAAAGAGGTACAAAACCGAAATTTATAAAGTTCAATTATTTGGATTTTATTATTATTAGATTTGAGATGACTACCCAGAAAACGATTTATCGTGACGATAGTATTGCTTTTTTTTTATACCAGTTGGTAGGGAAAGCCCAGTCAATGTCCCGTTGTAGCTGGCTACACTAAAGATCTTATCAAGAATGAATACAATGAAGAGTACGTGAATGATTTTCGCTTTTTTTGTGCTTACAGAGCAAAAAATATTTACTTGTCGTACGCTTAGAAAACTGAATAACACCACCTACATTTTGATATTTAGTGTTAGTTATCCTAGCAAGCAGAGTCGAAAACCAAAATCCAAACTAACGCCAACTGATTTATGAAATTTAGGGATAAATTCGAAGGAGAGAAAGAAAGAAAACGCAACATCAAACTCAATTTTATTAGCACAAGTAAGATTTTGAAATGATCATTTCCAATTCTGCATCACAGAGTTAAGTGATGACTTACGTTCTAGGACTTAAAAAGAGGACAACTTGGTGTTACGTTACCTTGAGAAACAATAGGGCAAACAACAATAATAAACGATTATGTTTATTCCTTGTCTTACAATATGAAAGTTTTCCAAATTTTGTTGTCATTTACCATCATTGAGTATTACTTCTTTCATTACAAGTTGGCCTGTCTCGTGTGAGTGATTATTTTTGCACGACGTATGGAATGGCACGAGTCTTTAAGTAGCTAAATATAATGATGAACCTAGTTTTCGATCACATGGGTTGATTTGACTAAAACATTGACTGTTTTTGTTTTTAAAATTTTAAGTTGTAGCATTTAAGTTTAACTTCATATGTATATTTACCTATTTGTACAAATTTTGAATTAAACTGTTGACTCTCTAAACGCCCCCCCCCCCAG